TGCTGCTACTACTGCTGCTAAAGTAGCTACTACTACTACTACTGCTACAGTAGCTACTACTACTAATGCTGCTAGTGGCGGTGGCAAGATGTAGCTTCAGCGACGTCCGTGCAAGTCTCGCACGCCCCAGCAACTTCGTGAATGGTACGCTCAGAGTAGAGGGTATCTGAGTACTGGTACGTCATTCGCACTTGTGCTCGGACTGGTCAGGCTTGCGGCACGCTTAATCACACACAGTCCCGCTGCTTCGCCCGTCTGAGCGACGCCTGGCGTACCGAGTTTGGCGACGAGGCTGAGCTCCCCGACTGGGTGGAGCTGCTTGGGCAGAGGGTAGATATATTTGCTCTTGACTATGATGCTATTCTCACTGCCATGTATGCATTGCCTACTAGTGCTGACCATGCCTGTTACCTGTGCGTACCGCCTGACCCAGGTATAGAGCGTGCTGCTCTAGGTGCTGGTGAGGTTGCTGCTCTAGGGTCTAGTGTGTCTCCTGCTCTAGGTACTGGTGAGGCTACTGCTCGAGGTGCTGGTGAGTCTGCTCTCTCTGGTACTGCGCTTGCTAAGGCCTTGTACACCTTCACACTTGACTCTGGTGCTTCTCGCTCCTTCTTTCGCAACAGCACCACCCTCACGCCGCTCAGTCGGCCGGTTGCAGTCTCCCTGGCAGACCCCTCTGGGGGTCCAGTCCGTGCGACCTCCTCCACTGTCCTCCCTTGTCCTGCTGTCCCGTCCGGCACATTGTCGGGTCTTTACCTCCCCTCGTTCTCTACAAACTTGGTGGCGGGTTCTGCGCTCCAGGACGAGGGTGTTCACCAGTTCACCCCTGCCTACGAGCGTGTGACACACTGCACGTGTGCTCAGACGGGTCGTCACCTGGCTACCTTCACTCGGCAGCCGGGGTTGGGCCTGTACACATTGACCACTGAGTCCCCTCAGGTAGCTGCGTCTGCGTCTACGTCTGCATCTACGTCTGCGTCAGGTCAGTTGTCGCCCCCTGCTCGTGTCGCGCCTTGTCGCACCAGACCCTCCTTTGGCACCACCGCCTTGGTCACCCCTCGGCGCAGCGCCTTCGCAGCATGCACCGCCGTGTCCTTGTCTCTGGTCTCCCCAGGGCTCTCCCTCCCCTCCCACCTTCGCCTGCTCCTCCCTGTCTTATCTGTGTCGAGGGGCGGCAGCGCGCCGCTCCTCACTCCTCCTCGTTCCCTCCCACAAAGGCTCCCCTGCAGACTCGTCAACTGGACGTGTGGGGCCCAGTCCGCGTCCGTGGACAGGGCCACGAGCGGTACTTCCTGCTGGTCATCGACGACTACACGCGTTACACCATGGTTTTCCCCTTGCGCACTGTGAGAGTACGACGGCTTATGCCAGCTATGCTTGCTTGCCTTTACTTTATTGTGCTATTTCTAGTATAGGATAATTATATGCATGCATGAATTGCTTGATTTCCTAGGCTAAGTGTGTAAGGAATTTGCGAATTCCTTACTGTAGCCTTGCCTTAACGGGTACAGCCCGAGCACTTCGCGTCAGGTGGCTTGGCCTACATTTCCGCACCGAACCAATGCCGAGTCGCCCCGCACTAATCGCGACACATCCAACCCATCCACATCCCGAGGTCCTCGCCTAGCACGGTTTCGACCCTATAAATGCGTGCTCCTTTATCATTCTTGATCATTCGGTAATTCTGTAATTCATTTTCTTTATAGAAGTCTTCCGCGCACTCTGTCCAAAAAAACTCATAACACTTGGTATCAGAGCTACTTTCTTAGCTTCCCCATTTTTTAGAGTGTAATACCCCTCAGGGGGGGGGGGGACAGGGAAGGATGCTGTGGTGACAGGAGCAGCGCAAGAGCCGGCCAGGAGAACGGGTAGTTGCTCCCAGCGGCCATGGATTTCAAGGCGCTCCTGCGGCACCGACGGATCCTTGCCCTCGACGGTCGAGATGGACCGTGGCCTCCCTCCCCCCGAGTGGCGGACAGCTTCTGCTGTTGTCGCAATTAATGCGTGAGTAACAGTAGTCGTTTTCGGCAATTTCGGAGTTAATGCTATGTAGCGGCTGACGTCGGCAGGCTCGTCGTCGGCGCACGTCCGAAGTTGTCGGAAGCAAGATCGTCGTGCGAGTTGCGTCGACACGTGGTCGACAGGTGCGCGCGACAATTACGGAGCTAGCTGCGTGCGGCAGGTGGCGATGGGCGTCTTCGTCACGTTGTGCACGAGCTAGTGGAAGTCTTCGGCAAGTGGCGCGTCGTCACTGTGCGCTAAGATTTCGGGTAGCAGCACGTGGAAAACAACTGCTGGTCGAGCAGCCAGGCGCAATGTGTGATTTGCGTCCTAAAAACCGACAGCGAGGAGAGGCGGCGTGGCGACTGCCCGAAGAAAGCAGGGGTCTACCGTCGTCCCGCCCGGGTGCGGCAGGTGTTGCTGCAGGAGGGTGCGTCGTGGGCGTTTTTCGGTAGAGCGGCACAGTGTGGGACGGAAGTTGTTCTTCAAACCACCGAAAAGTTCGGAAAAGGCCGCCTATGACCAGACTGTTCCGGCTTGGGTGACTACTATTTCTGGCACAATGTTCATCGGCGAAAATTTCGGAGCAACAGTGGCAGCCGATTCTGCACTTCACGCGGCACAGTTCTCTCCGGCCAGAGGTACCTGTGTTTGCAGACACCCCAGTACACCACGGAACAACAATTCGGCACAGTGTTTAGACCCGTGAATTTCGGGGGTTCTACCGGCTACAATAAACGGAGTTGCGACTAATGCGGGTCCGGCGAGAGAAACGGGTTCCGACTTAAGGAAGCGAGAAAACAACCTACAGCGATGACTTTTGCTGAGGCCGAGTCTCACGGCTAAGCGGCGGTAGCAGAAGGAGCCACCTACCGGCCAAGTCTTACGACGTTTCACATACCTCACACCAGAAAAGCCTCGAAGGCAATTCGTAAGTCGTGTTGGCTACTGGATAAAAAGGCGTGGCCCTGTGTTTTAGCCCTGTGCTGGTTAGAAAGGCGTGGGTGGCGCTGGTTTGTCGGCAGGGCGTTCAAGAAAATCTTCAAGCGGCACTGTTTCGACCCCGACAAAAACGGACCATCGACAACAGTACTCCGCCGAAAATGTTGGAGTCGAGGAATTTGTGGCAGCTGGCGGTGTTTCTCCTGATTCAACGGTCTACCCAACGGTGGTGTAGCAGCGAAGGTGGAGTTCCCGAAGCTGCGGAGTTTAAAAATGCGATAGGCACGGTGGGCAATGTCGAACTATATATGCTATAGTCTGTTTAGGCTGTAGTGGGGTAGTCAATATGGGGTACAACACTTAAGGGTTTCCTACTTGTACTCCTCATGCTGCTCAATGCAATCATTCCTTCCTCAGATTCTCACATGGTATAGAGCAGGTTCCATAGTGGGAACGCTTCCTAAGGGCCCACCACTAAAAAATTTTCTGCCCGGAGCGCGCTTCTCTCCTGCCCGAATCGCGCCCCGTGTGCCCTCCCTGCCGTCGCGTCCCTAGCCCTTAGCGGCCCGGCGCGCCCTCCTCAGGCCCCTAGCGGCCCCTTTCGCGGCCCCTCGTGGCCCCTCTCACGGCCCCGTCGCCACCTTGTCGGCCCCGTTGCCGACCATAGCGGCCCCGTCGCCGCCCTGCCGGCCACGTCGCCGACCCTAGCGGCCCCGTATGTCAGAATGTTATGTTTGTCTAGCCTGCACTGGGGTACTTAATAGTGAGTACAGCCCAACTTAAGGTTTCCTATATGTACTGAACTGCTTGCTAGTGAACGCCTCTCTTCTTCATTCTCGTTCATTTTCACACCGTAGCCGCTCTAAGCGGCCCCGTCGCTGCCCTATCGGCCCCGTTGCCGACCCTTGTGGCCCCGTCGCCGCTCAGCGGCCCCGTCGCCGCCCTATCGGCCCCGTCGCCGACCCTTACAGCCCCGTCGCCGCCCTAAGCGGCCCCGTCGCCACCCTATCGCCCCCGTCGCCGACCCTTGAGGCCCCGTCGCCGCCCTACCGGCCCCGTCGCCGCCCTAAGCGGCCCCGCCGCCGACCCTACCGGCCCCGTCGCCGACCTAAGCGGCCCCATCGCCGACCCTACCGGCCCCGTCGCCGCTCGACCGGCCCCGTCGCGGACCCTCGCGGCCCTGTCGCCGCCCTCAGCTGTCAGAATCCCAACCACTAGACCATTGAGATAAAAGGGCTTGTTTCAATAGCGGGTTAGTGCGCCCATAACCCCCCAGGCAAACACGCCTGTAACCCTTCCCTAGGATCAATCCGGGATCACCAGTGGACCTCTGACACCCCCCCGCACTGGGATGCCCGAAGTGCTTATACCGGGATTCGAACCCGAGACCTTCGCTCTGATACCATGTCAGAATCCCAACCACTAGACCATTGGGATAAAAGGGCTTGTTTTAGTAGCGGGTCAGTGCGCCCATAACCCTCCAGGCAAACGCACCTGTAACCCTTCCCTAGGATCAATCGGGGATCACCAGTGGACCTCTGACATCAGCGGCCCCGTCGCCGCCCCTACCGGCCTCGTCGCCGCCCTACCAGCCCCGTCGCCGACCCTTGCGGCCCTGTCCCCGACCTCAGCGGCCCCGTCGCCGCCCTACCGGGCCCGTCGCTGACCCTAGCGGCCCGGTCGCCGCCCTCTGCGGCCCCGTCGCCGCCCCTTTACGGCCACGTCGCCGTCTCTCCCAGCCCCTTCAACGCCGCCAGCAGCCCAGCAGCCGAGGCGCACGATAGCCAAGCCGCCCAGCAGCCGAGCCGCCGAGCCGCCCAGCAGTCGAGCCGCCCAGCCGCCGAGCCACCCAGCAGCCGAGCCGCCGAGCCGCCGAGCCGCCCAGCAACCGAGCCGCCGAGCCGCCGCGTCGCCTAGCAGCCGAGCCGCCGAGCCGCCCAGCAGCCGAGCCGCCGAGCCGCCCAGCAGCCAAGCCGCCGAGCAGCCCTTCCTTCCGGCGCGCCCCGCCCCTACTTCCCTGGACTGGTGAGCTCACTCCCTAATAGACCACTGTAGTCATGGCTACCCCGACTGTCCTTACCTTTGATACTGAGGGTCGTGCTGTTGACTTTGAGGTCTGGGTCGATGACCACCAGCTGTTCTTACAGTGCGATAGGGCGGACGGCCTCTCACTGTTCGATCTCACCTTTGGTGTCTCTCCTGCCCCGCCTGCTACTGCTGTCAACACTGTTCGCTCACAGTGGGCCACGCGCAATGCTGCTACACGTCTTGCTGTGCGTCGCCACTGCCATTGCTGCGCTTAGCCGCCTCATGTTGCCGTACCTGTTCCCTGACCTTGCTGCCTTTCCCACAGTCGCTGACCTCATTACACACCTCCGCACTAGTGACACTTGCTACCGCGCTGCGCTTCCCGCTGAGTTCTGTGCCAAGAACCCCCCCCCCCCCCCCCCCCCCCCATGTACATCACCCTCTACTACATAGTCACCTGGCTCCCTGACTCCCTTCGCTTAGTCAAGGACCACTTCCTCTCAGTTTGCCCCACCACACTCACCGTTGACCTCCTCGAGGAGCGCCTCCTAGCAGCAGAGAAGAGCATAGTCGCTGTAGGAGTCTTTCGTGGTGACCCTCGCAACCCCGTCTTTGAGGGGTGTTCTCCCTCCCCCCTCTTGCCCTTTGTTGCTTCTGCTGTTGCGGCCGACCTCGTTGGTTTCGAGTCGGTCGGCGCTGCGTCTGTCCCTAGCGGGAAGCGCCGCACCGGCAAGGGCAAGGGGGGCAAGGGCGCTGGGGGGGCTAGTGGGGGCGGTGGAGGTGGTGGTGGAGGCAGTGGAGGGGGTGGGGGTGGTGGTGGGAGTGGTGGCGGGGGTGGAGGTGTCGGTGGCAGTAGTGGAGGCGGAGGAGGTGGCGGTGGTGGCGGAGGGAGCGGAGGCGGCGGCGGTGGCGAAAGCGGCGGAGGTGGCGGAGGCGGCGGAGATGGCGGTGGAGCTGGTCGCGGCTCTGCGCAAAGGAGTGGCTCCGGTGGTGGTCCGCGCCAGCAGCAGCAGCGCGGTCGTGAGACCCTGTTCCCTCAGCAGCTTCGTGAGTGGTACGCTGGGCGTCAGCGGGGTGGGGGTACTGGTCCCTGCACCTACGTCATTCGTACAGGCGAACGCGCTGGTGAGCAGTGCGGGGGCACGCACTCCACTAAGCGCTGCTTCGGCCGCCTGACGGACGCTTGGCGTCATCAGTTCCCTGATGCCACAGAGATCCCTCGTTGGGAAGAGCTGTCTAGGGCGGGGTCAGCTATCTTTGATCTTGACTATGATGTTATTCTTGCTGCCATTTATGCTGTGTCTACTAGTGATGAGGGTGACAGTTACCTGTGTGTTCCGCCTGACCCGGGCATTGAGGCTGCTGCTCTAGGTGCTGGTGAGGCTGCTGCTCTAGGTGCTAGTGCGTCTGCTGCCCCAGGTGCTGGTGAGTCTGCTCTCTCAGGTACTACGTCGGCTCAGGCCTTGCACACCTTCACCCTTTACTCAGGTGCTTCCCGCTCCTTCTTTCGAGACCGCACCACGCTTACGCCGCTTAGTCGGCCGGTTGCGGTCTCCCTGGCGGACCCCTCTGGGGGTCCTGTCCTTGCTAGCTTCTCCACTGTCTTACCGTGTCCGGTAGCCCCCTCTGGCACCCTAAAAGGTCTCTACCTCCCCTCGTTCTCTACGAACTTGGTAAGTGGAGCTGATCTACAGGATCGGGGGGTTGACCAGTTCACACCTGCGAGTCAGCGGGTGACCCACTGTACGTGTGCTCGGACGGGCCGACACTTGGCCGCGTTTACCTGTCAGCCGGGGTCGAGCCTGTACACACTCACCACTGAGTCTCCTCCTTTTACTGCGTCTGGTCAGGCAGCTGCGTCGAGTCAGGTGTTGCCGAGATCTACGTAGGGGCCATGGCTGCACAGAGCTACGCTGGCTCACCTACCTGCTGACCGACCTTGGAGAGCAGCCTCGTTCTCCTCCAGTTCTGTACGTAGACAACAAGGCCATGCTGGCCTTGTGTCGGGAGCACAGCCTGGAGCACAGAACGAAGCACACTGCTCTTCACTAGTTTCTTGCTCGTGAGCTGCAGCACCGGGGTTTGCTGCGCCTTGCTTACGTGGCATCTGAGGCCAACACTGCTGATATCTTTACCAAGGCACTTCCGCCTTGTGATCATCAGCGCTTGTGTACTTTGCTAGCTCTTGTGCCTACTTGGCCTCACTTGCTCACCTCTTGAATTTGCTTGTACTGTGATCTATATATACATGCACTTGCATGCATACTCTTGCTAGGTTGTGATCACTGACTTGCTTGTTCTTCTTGATGTATAACTCTGCTTGTGAACTGGCCTTGTGGCCTTGTACTTGTGCTCAGATTGTGTGGTGACGTTGTGATCCACCCTGTGCTTGTCTGGCTTCTCTTGACTGGTCTTGTGACCCCTTGTTCTCCCCCACTTTGCCTATGGGGGTGTGTCGAACCATATATGCTATAGTCTGTTTAGGCTGTAGTGGGGTAGGCAATATGGGGTACAATACTTTAGGGTTTCCTACTTGTACTCCTCATGCTGCTCAATGCAATTATTCCTACCTCAGATTCATACAGTCAGTGCTGTCTGTAAGTGCTCCATGGCTTGTTGTTGAGGAGTATCCTATTTGTAGGGCGTATCCTTTTTCACTAGGTTGGTCAGTGATGCTACTATCTTAGTATAGTGCGGCACAAACCTGTTGTAGTAGTTGGCTTAGCCTAGGAACTGCTGCAAGTCCTTCATGTTCTTCGGAAATTTCCACTTCTTGATGTCTTGGATCTTTTGCGGGTCCACGTGTACGCCCTCGGCACTCACCATGTGTCCGAGAAACTGGACCTTCTTTAGGGCAAAGTCGCTCTTCGACACTTCTTGTAGAACTTTTTCTCCCGCAGGATCTCAAAGACGGCAGATGCTCCACGTGCTCTTTCATGCTCTTGGAGTAGATGAGAATGTCGTTCAATTACACCACTACGCCCCCGTCCAGCAGGGGTCGTAGGATGTGATTCATCTCCTCCTGGAACGTCGCAGGTGCGTTGTAGAGTCCGAACGGCGTCACTAAGTACTCGTAGGAGCCTTGTCTGGTACGGATGCCATCTTGTAGATCGAGTTGTCTTCCATCTTGATCTGCCAGTAACCCGGCCATAGGTCTAGCTTCGAATCTACTGTTGCACCACGTAGTTGATCTAGAAGATCATCTATGCGCGATATGGGGTGATTGTTTTTTACTGTCTGTTTGTTCAGTGCCTGGTAGTCGATGCTTATCCGTAAACTACCATCTGGCTTTGGAGTAAAGAGAAATGGTGCGCCGTAAGGAGAGGTGGATGGGCGGATCAGTTGTCTGTCCAGTAGATACTCTATCTGCTTCTTCATGTCTGTCAGTTCGGTCAGACTAAGGCGGTATGGTGCACGTGAGACGGGTTTCACACCTGGTTCCTCCACGATCTCGTGCTCATGGGTTCGTACTTGAGGTACTCCTGCACGCAGGTCATTTGGCATGATGTCTTTGTACTGCTCCAACACCTCCTGTACTGTTGCAGGTAGCTCCGTGTTCGGCTTTTCCTCCTCTGGTGCTGCCATAACCAATACTAAGTAACCCGTGTTACTCTTGTTCACCATCCGTTTGAATTGTGCCAGTGTTGTTTCAGGAACATTCCCTGTATCCGTCCAGCTTCTCAACTCCACACATTTTGCATTATTGTAGATGCACGCCTTCCGGCTGACCCAGTCGATCTCGGGGTTGAACCGCTTCAGAAAATCACGCCCCAAGATGAAATCTAATCCCTTGATGTTCGTGATCGGCAATGTCGGCTTCCACCTTAATGCTCCTATCTATAGTTGCAGTCTTGGCTCGTCGTGGATGGGAAGCTTCGTACCGTCCACCATCGTTGCTGTAAATTGGGTCTCCTCCGATGACTCTCCAATTTTCTTCAATGTCTCACGGTCGCACACCGAGTGGGACGCACCACTATCTACCAGGGCCTGGAGGCATCGCTTGTTGCAGATCACCTCGAGTACTTAAGGTTGTTGCCGCTCCGAGTAGCTGTAGATGATGCTGCTTATAGGATCATAGGGTAGATCAAATGTATCATCCTTTGGTCCTGCGCTCGAAGCTGCTGTCTCAAGATCAGGTATCACCTGAGTAGGGTTAGAACGATTTATCCGAGGCTGGTACAGCTTGTCCTGAGCCTAGAACCTTCACCTATGCCTTTGCAGCTGTGCTGGCTTTACCTTTGGGGAATGGTGTGGAGTCTTAACGCCATACTACTGGGAGAGAATATTAGCTCCTCAGAACGCTCGACCCTTATTAGCGCTCCAGAGTAGGGTCCCCATATCACCCGGTACTGGTTTATTTTCTGTCTATCCCTTAATAAAGGCTTGAAACCCAAGAGAATCAATGTTCTTACTTGTCGGGGTGTATGGCCGGAGTTTCCCAGTCGATGCAGGGTCTTGTTTCGCGGAGTCTCCATTTGTCTCTGTGATTTCCCCTGGTGCCGGCCGGTCGTGACGTTTGAAATTTGCGCCGTCATATTCTTGTTTTTTCACCCTCTCTGAAGTTGCCACGTTGTCCGTTTTTTGCTTTGGGGGTGCCGCACTGTTCTTGTCCCTTAGCTCCACTCGCCTTTTCTTCATTTTCCAACACGCCAAGATATGAGCGCCGCAAAATTTGCACGTCTCATTGGGACAAGCGACTCTGGGTGACCTGAGACCAGATGGGGACGTACCATCCTACTAAGACGTGGGAACAACAGGTGACCTAGACGGTGGTGCCAAAGTGTGTAGTGAGTATGGACCAGAGCCTGGCTCTCTGTGGAAAGTGGCTAGAGGCACTCTAGTGGCACCGACTATGCAAGAGGCAACAGGCTCGTCCAGAGGGAAAGTAGAGACAACTCCAAGGTAGTGGATGTGACTGACATCCACCAAGTTCCTAGAGAACGAGGGGATGTAGTAACCTGTGAGAAACCCAAAGGGAGCTGCCGGACACGGGAGAATGGTGGTGCTGTGGGCAACTACAGATCTCACAGAGGGGTCACCCTAGGCAATAGTGACTGGAGTGTGCAGAGGCGTGAGGTTGGTGCAGTTGTGAAAGAAACAACTTGACGCTCCAGAGTCTAGGGTGAAGGAATGATGTGCAGTCGTTGAGGTCGCACCCAAACCAGCGACAAAGGCCGGTACTAGACTAGTGGTAGCTGCAGCTCCCACACTAAGAACCTCTGAGGCGCTTGAAATGGAAACTACGCAAGCACCAAGACTGGAAACACAAGTCTCAACCCCAGCTGTAGCTCCCACGTACCTGTATGTACTGGTCGAGTCCGACAGGGCCCCGTGGTGGAGGCTGCCGCTGGAACTGCTGCTGAACGTACAAGTGCTGCTGCTGCGGTGGCCACTGCTGTTGCTGCGGCCACAAGTGCTGCGGCCACGGCTGCTACCGCGGCCACGTCTACAGCTGCGGCCAGTAATGTCACGGCCACTGCTATTGTTGCGGCCACCGGTGCTGCTGCCACTACTGCTGTTGCGGCCACCGGTGCTGCTGCCACCGCTAATGTTGCGGCCACAGATGCCACATCGAAATGGCACGCTAGTAAGGGGGGAAGGGGCCAGTCGAGGCGGCAGTACCAGTGGTAGGTGTTAGCCAGTGCGGTGAGGAGTGGTCTGGTGCGGTAGGGAGTTGTCTAGTGCAGTGGGAAGCAGGCTAAAATCGACCGGATGCATTAGAGAGCGGTTTGGCGTGGTCTAGTGCGGTGGGGAGTGGACAGATGTGGTAGGGTACGGCCGGGTACGGCCGGATGTGGTCTAATGCGGTGAGGTCAGTCTAGTGCGGTGGGTAGTGGTCTATTGCAGTGGGAGCGGTCGGGCAGAACATAGCGAAGGGACGGGCGGTTGGATGCGGTCTAGTGCAGTGGGGAGCAGTCTAGTGCGGAAGGCACGGGCAGAACTTGGCGAAGGCTTGGGTGGCTGCTGCTGGCACTGGTTGCTGCTGCAGGCGTTAGCAGCTGTTGCTGGCGCTGGCTGCTGTTGCTGGTGCTAGCTGCTGCTGCTGGCACTAGCGACTGCTGCTAGAGCTGGCGTGGGGCGGCGCGCTGCAGCCGCTGCTGATCATGCTAGTGCGCGACGGCCGACGGGCGCGACTGGCTAGGACAGGGGTCAGGCGAGCTCGGGCGAGGGCGAGGCAGTGGGCGCAACAATTTAGGGTTACGGGCGCTATGGGCGATGGGTGCTACGAGCGACATGTGACGCGTGACCTAGATCGCGACGACAGTGCCCGCGGGGGTCTGCGCTACAGGTCGAAAGAGGGGCCATGAGGGGGGGAGCATGCTACGAGAAGAACGAGGGGCCCATGCGGGGTGGGGGGGGGAGGGCGTACGATGGGACGCACGAAAGGGCCTGCGGAGGGCCCGCTAAGGGGCGAACGAGGGCGCCCGTAGGGGCCGCGCTAAAGACGAACGCGAGCGCCCGCGGGGGGGGGGGGGGGTTGGGGGGGCACGCTACGGGACGAACTAAGGCACGTGGGGGCGCGTTACGGGATGATCTTAGGCTGGATGCGCGCTACGGGACGGACAAAGGGCCCGAGGAGGGGCGCCCTACAGGACAAACTAAGGCTTGCGGGGGCCGAGCTATATGACAAACTAAGGCCCATGAGGTAACGTGACATGCTGGGACCAAACGGGCGGCGAACGGATGGCGAACGGGCAGCAAACAAATGGCGGACGGGCGGCTACCAAGCGGCTAGCATATGAAAGCCTAAAACGAGCGAGCCAATGGGTGGCGAGTTCGCTACGGGCGGCTATCGAGCAATGAACGGGACGTGCGGAGTGGGCCCATGTGAACGAACTAAGCTCTATACCACGTCAAAGATAGAACTGGAAGAATGAAAACCAAGGAT